GTGCAATCACGGCTCACTGCAACCTCTACCTCCTGGGTTCAAGCGATTCTCCTGCCTCAGCCTCCTGAGTAGCTGGGACTACAAGCGTGAACCACAGTCATGTGCCACCACGCCTGACTAATTTTTGTATTTTTAATGGAAGTGGTGTTTCACCATGTTGGCCAGGCTGGTCTCGAACCACTGACCTCAGGTGATCCACCCACCTTGGCCTCCCAGAGTGCTAGGATTACAGGCATGAGCCAGTGCACCCAGCCATTTTGTAAATAAGCAATTAAAAAAAATTTCTGTAGAACTTAAGACTCAGTTTTGATTCCTGCAAATTAGGGTAGACTATTTCTGTCTTACTGATCACTGTTCTTCTATTTCCTCAGGGCCTGGCATACTGTAGGCATTCAGTAAAAGTATGTTGAATGAGTTTATACATTTTTTATATAGTGGAGGCTTGTATTTTGTGATTGTTTTCTGTAGATGTGTTGTATCTGTCATTTTTTACTAAAGCATGGTCTATTAAGGCCTATATCTAGCCAGTGTGCCTCAGTATGTAAGTATGAGATGTTCACAGCTTGAGCTCATCTTGATAGGTTTCATATGTGTTCTGATTGCTTGGTGCCTGCACTGTGCCAGTTGTTAAATGTTTGAATAATGCCTCTCCAGTGTCATTATTATATCATGCAGAATTGTTTTTGACTCAGTGAGTAATTTGTCAGAAATAGGTTACCTGAGAAATTCCAAACTTTTGTATCCATACTGTTTGTATTTATGATTATTTCATAAGCTCTACAGCTCACATCAGTGGTGTTTTGTGCATTTGCTTTTTTTTTTTTTTTTTTTTTTTTTTTTTTTTTTTTTTTTTTTTTTTTTCAGACAGGGTCTTGCTCTGTCACCCAGGCTGGAGTGTAGTGACACAATCTTGGGTTGCTGCAACCTCTGCCTCTCAGACTCAAGCCATCCTCCCACCTCAGCCTCCAAGCAGCTGGGCCTACAGCCACATGCCACCACACCCAGCTAATTTTTTATTTTTGGTAGAGATGGGGTCTTGCCATGTTGGTTTAAGACCCCAGGCTGGTCTTGAACTCTCTGAGCGAAACTGATCTGCTCTCTCAGATTCTCAGAGTGCTGGGATGTGTCACCATGCCTGGCTGCATTTGCCTCTTTTTAAATTGTTTATTAAAATAAGTAATATATGTTCATATCACAAAATTCAAATTGTTCAAAAATGGATGTACTAAAATATTTTTCTTTGCCTTCTATGCAATACAACTTTTCTTTTACAGAGGCAATCAATAGTTAGTTTATTCTTAGACATATTTAGCACATACATAGGTCTATGTGTAAATGTTTTACACCCAAATTGTAGCCTGCTGTTCACACTTCTCTCCACCTTGATTTTCTCAAAGTATCTTAGAGATCTTTTCATATCACATAGAGTGGCCTCATTATTTTCAGTTTGTACATCATATTCCATTGTATAGTTAGATACAACTGTATTAACTTTTATCTTGTAATTTTAAAAAATTCAATACAGTGAAGGTCTTGTATCTAACATCGTTATCTAAATGTATCTATAATATAAATTTCTAGTTGTTTGATTGCTGTTTCAAAAATAAAAAAATTTGATAGATATCACCAAACTGCTGTTTATTGTTTTTCTTTTTTTTTGAGACAGGGTCTCACTCTGTCAACCAGTCTGCAGTGCAGTAGTGTGATCTTGGCTCACTGCAACCTCTGCCTCCCTGGTTCAAGTGGTTCTCGTGCCTCAGCGCCCCAAGTAGATGGTACTATAGGCGTGCGCCACCATACCTGGCTAATTTTTCTATTTTTAGTAGCAACTGGGTTTCACTGTGTTGCCCAGGCTGGTCTTGAACTTCTGTGCTCAAGAGATCCCTCCGTCTCCCAAAGTACTGGGATTATAGGTGTGTGCCATCGTACCCAGCCCTAATTGCTCTAAGTCATATTGTACCTGTTTCCTCAACAACAGTAATATATGACAGTACTTGTTTCCTCAACAACAGTAATGTATGACAGTACCTGTTTCCTCATGTTCTTGCACATAGTATGTATTATTTTTATATTTTGTTAGAAATTTGGAATTTGTTAATCAAGTGTATAAAAATGTTATATTAGTGTAGTTTTAATATTAATTCATTTTGTAAGCAAAGTTGAGTTTCATGTTTTAGTGCCACTTGTAGTTCCCTTTTTGTTCATTGCCTTTACCTAGTTCCCACAAGCAGATAAATTTCCTTAAAAAAATTTTTTTTCAGGAAGTTATTTGTACTTATGTAATGATATGAGTTGCAGATGATTTTTCTAAGTGTATAATTTACTGTTTGATTTTTTTTTTGCTTATAGAGTTTCTACTTATTATATAGTTAAATGTGTCAATATGAACTTCAGAAGTCTGAAAAACTCTTAGTTAGAAAAGCTTTTACCATTTGAAGTTACAAAATAATTTTTGCATCATTTCATTCCTTGCTTTTATTTAATTAGTTTTTATTTTTAGAGACATGTCTTGCTCTGTCACTCAAGCTAAAGTGCAGTGGTGTAATCATAGCTCACTGCAGTCTTGAAGTCCTGGACTTATATGACTCTCCTGCCTTGGCCTCCCAGAAGTACTGGGATTACAGGCATGAGCCACCACGCCTGGCCCATTTAGTGCTTTTATGACTTTTATTTTAGACTCATTTTATGACTTCAGTTTTACATTTAAATCTTAAACTCATTTGGAATTTTTTTTTATGGTATGACAGATTGATTGATTTTTTTTCCCAGATATTTGAATATAGCTGTCCGTAAACTTTTTTTTTAAGACAGGGTCTGGCACTGTTGCCCAGGCTAGAGTGCAGTGGTGTGAGCATAGCTCACTGTAGCCTTGAACTCCTGGGCTCAAGCGATCTTCCCACCTCAGCCTCCAGAGTACTAGGGCTACAGGTACTCACCACCATGCCTCGGTCATTTTTTTGTTTTGTTTTGTTTTGTTTTGTTTTGTTTTTGAATGTAGAGACAGAGTCTGGCTGTGTTGCCAGACTGGTCTCAAATTCCTGATCTCAAGTGATCCTCCTGCCTTAGTGTCTCCCAAAGCTTTGGGATTATAGGTGTGAACCACCATGCTCAGCCACCAACCTTTTGATTAAATGATCTTTGTTATATTTAGATGTCACTTTTATCATATAACAATGTACAAATATAGATATGTAATTATAAAATTTATAATAATCACCAGCCAGGCATTGTTAGATGCACCTTATTTATATAAATGCCTTTTTTTTTAAACCTTTTTATGGTAAGAACTTTAGATTGGTTAATGGTATTATAAATGTTAATTTCCTGGTTTAAATGGTTGTACTATGAGTATGTAATATATATACATTGGGGAAGCTAGATAAAGAGTATAAAGGAGTTTTGTACCTTTTTGAATGTTTGAAATTATTTCAAAATGAAAAGTTACAAAACAAGGAAATAATACAACCAAAACAGTTATATTAAAGTTCTTATTTGAATTATGTATTTTTAAAATCTACAAACATGATATTTATGGCCAATATAATTTAATTCAACCAGTTTAAGAATGGAATATTTCATATTATGATAGATAGCTTATAATGTTTATCCAGGAGGACTAGCGAATCAAGCACATATACTTTATAGTCAGGGCCATGCAACTAGGAGAATTGACTCAATCACAAAGAGAGACTTTTTTAGCAAGATCCCAACTATCATCTCATAATACTGCCTGGTAGTGATGATACAAAGCATTGTATCCTGAAATCTCTGCCACAGCTTTCCTAGAAAGATGAACTGTCCTTATTGCTGTGCTTGCCGGGAGTTCTTTTCTTTCTGCATGCAGATAATGGTCCTCACATTGTTCATTTCTGCTTTTTTCAGTCTCATGTCTGTGTATATTTTTGTCAGAACCTGGGATACATGTTGATCCTGCAGAAAGGAATTTTAATTTATTTCCTAGTTTTGAACCTTCCTTGCTTTCCTGGACTAAACTCTACTTGGTTATGTCTGTTATTCTTTTATAAGCCATTGGATTTGCTTTTTAAAGTTCACTTTCTTCTTCTTGCATACCTTTTGGGTATGCTGTTTAGAAATGCATAATGCATAATGAAAAACCAAGAAGTATTCAGAAAGAAAGAGTAGGTGAATCATGTGTGTAACTATTTCTGACTCAGATCTTTTAAAAATCTAGTTAAGATGTATTGTATACCTTAAATGTAGGTATTTTTTAAAAAATCAAATTTTAAAAAATGTATTTAAAAATCTAGTTTAATGAAATACCTCTAAAAGGTAATTCTAAAAGTATTTTAATTCCTTTAAATAATTAGGATTTATTTAAAATTTACAAACCTTCCTTCTGTGTGGGGAGGCTCTGGGTGAGATGACAAGGTTGGTATAGGTATAGTTTTCTAGCAGTAATATCAGTGGAATACATTTTCTTGATTACTGACTTTGGATGTGCGACTAATTATATGTAAGTCATACTGATTATTGACAGAAAAGAAGAGAGGTAAATGAATAGGTATAATAAACTAAAAATTTGACTACTGTAAACTCCAATGTGTGACCACTCTGAGCCTTCTTCATCTTTTCGATTTTGCTATGAACTCATAACTTGTTGAGGTAACAAAGGAGCTTTAGGTTATTCTGTGTAGTTTGCAGATTTGCTAATTCATAAAGGAAATACTGAATGAGAAGCAATTTTAGAGCTGATTTAGATCTTTATTGGTAACAGGTTAGTAGATAGCAATTTACCTAAGACATCCTATATTTGTTTTTGTTGAAAAATATTTTAATTTTTATGTTATTTTAATTGACTTTGCTGTCTAAATTTGGACATTACTTCAGAAGTTTTTGTGCTGTGTTGTTTTTTTTTTAAATGAAACTTTTGTTTTACATGCTATGGTGATTTTGAGGATACTAATGCTTTTAATGTGTGTGTGTGTGTGTGTGTGTGTGTGTGTGTGTGTGTGTGTGTGTGTCTGTTTTTCTCTTGGAAGCTGGTAGGAGGACAGTTTGATTTGGAAATGAATTTCATTATCCAAGAAGGTGAGAGTATCAACTGTATGGTGGACCTACTGGAAAAATGTGACATTACTTGCCAAGCAGAAGTCTGGAGCATGTTTACAGCCATTCTGAAGAAAAGCATACGAAATCTTCAAGTCTGCACTGAAGTAGGACTTGTTGAAAAAGTGCTTGGGAAAATTGAAAAAGTTGACAATATGATAGCAGGTATGTTTTTTTTCTGTAGTACAGTATATGTGAAGAAATAAAGTTTGATTTTTAAATATGTATTTTTCTTATTCCATTTGGCAATATTTAAGAAATACTTGAGCCTGTAGCATGCACTTAGAACTTTAGTGTCCAAGCCCTTAAATAATTACAGTTTATTTTAAATATTTGAGAAGTATAACTAGCTGAGTTATTTTATTGTTTTCTTTTGTTTCTAGATCTTTTAGTTGACATGTTGGGAGTGTTGGCTAGCTACAGTTTGACAGTTCGAGAGCTAAAGCTTTTCTTCAGTAAACTTCAAGGAGATAAAGGACAATGGGTAAAAAAACTTAAGTACTGTTTGGTATTTTAAAGTATCCCCCCCAAACACATTAATATCTTATAAGTAACTGATATTATTATACATGGCATAATTGTCAAATTGAATAGATTATTTAAAATAGCATTGAGATCCCTATGACTACTCTTGCCCTGCTTGGACTCTAAGAGTATTTTCTAAGATAATGGTGTTTCAGGCAAACTGATAATTTAATTCTTCAAATTGTTGTTCTTTAAATGTACATTCGATATTTATTTTTTAAAATGTAGAGAAAAAAAGTATTACGTAATAGTACCTAGGTTTCTTCCTTTTGATCTAGTTTTAGCTGAGTCCCCTAAACTTGAGTAACTCACTCCGTGAAGAAAACTTTTGTTTTTAATTGGATCTACCCTCTTTAGATGCAACTTAAGAGTCATTTGCAATGGGTAGTGATGGGGGTGAACTATTTTGAACCCCAGGTGCCTTATCAAACTCTTTTTTCCACCATATAGTTATTTGTCCCATTGAGGAGGAGTAGTAAATATTTTCTCCTTTTTTGTTGCATTTCCAGGCTTATTTTAGTGCCCTTTAGAAATCATTGAACCACAGCAACAGCTCAGCCAGCTGATCCTTAATCTAGCTTTGATTAAATATATCTAAATTTGTGCTCTGCAGTTACTCTTATTCATTGTATTAAAATTTAGATTCCTCAGGAGGCTGAGGCAGGAGAATTGCCTGAACCCAGGAGGCGGAGGTTGCGGTGAGCCGAGATCGTGCCATTGCACTCCAGCCTGGGTGATAAGAGCGAAACTCTGTCTCAAAAAAAAAAAAAAATTTAGATTCCTTAGTATATGTCTCTCAAACTCCAGTTTGCTGGCTGTTTAATTTTAGAGTTTTATTATTGATTTTCATTGAATTTGATTATATTTCTGGTTCTAGCTTACCTTGTATTTATCTTAGAGTTTTTGCATCTGTGGGTTTATAAGATAGTTGTCATAAAATTTGGAAACATTTTAGTAATTGTTTCTTCAAATAATTGTCTTCTTGTCTCTACTTCCTATCTTTTCTGGGACTCCAATTATAGATACATTAGACCTCTTGATATTGTCTCACAGGTTACTGAGCTCTGCTAACTTTTTTTTTTAGTCATTTGTGCTTTATTTTAGATTGTTTTTATAGCTATAGTCTCAAGTTAACTGATACTTCCTTCAGCAGTGTGTTAATTCCATCCACTGAAATTTCAGATAGCATATTTTTCTTTCTGTAAATTCTATTTTGTTCTTTTTCTTTTT